TGGTTGGGGAACATACATAAAGCCCGATTATTAAAAATTGGAAAATTACTAACATTAGGAATTGGGTACATCAGTGGTTTACTTTTTATTTACTTATTTTTTTAGTATTTGAAAGTTTTCACATTTAAAAATTTTATTCTGAAAATTACTCAATTTCTAGAAGAATAAATATCCTGGTTTAAGAAAGAATTAACTTTTTTTTTTTCAGTGTTAGACATTGAAGCCAGGGCCTGGCACATGTTAGGCAATTGCTCTTCTACTAGCTGCACTCTTAAGCCCAAGGCTTGATCTTTTAAAAAACGAGAATGTAGGTTTGTAACTTTGAAAACTAGATCGGAGGGAAAACTTTGCACAGTATAAATATTTTTGTACTCAATACAACTTAAAAATTATTACATTTATATTTAGTGTGTGTCTGTGTGTGGTGGTCAGTGTACAACTTGCAGGTGTCACTTCTCTTTCTACAATGTCTTGAGGATGAAACACAAGTTGCCGGCTTGGGAGGTACCTTTATCTACTGCATCATCTCACCCACCTATAAGTATGGCTGAGACTTCGACTCTAAGCAAAGTTTCAGTCTTAGCATGGCTACAGGACCGTTCGGCTCAAAACTCTCCACACCCAGTTGCACGACTAAAACTAATTTACTAGAAATTAGATATTAAAAGCCTACTCTCGCCGGGCGGTGGTGGCGCACGCCTTTAATCCCAGCACTTGGGAGGCAGAGGCAGGCGGATCTCTGTGAGTTCGAGGCCCGCCTGGGCTACCGAGTTCCAGGAAAGGCGCAAAGCTACACAGAGAAACCCTGTCTCGAAAAACCAAAAAAAAAAAAAAAAAAAAAGCCTACTCTCACTCCAAGAAGTCCTGTAAAGCAGTCAGGAGTCCGTATTGTACTTAGGAGATTATTTCATATAATTTGTTAAAAATATCTTTTCCTGGATTTGTAAAAGTTACATTTTTATAATACAAGAAATTAGGTTAAGACACAAAACATAGTCTGCATGTAATAAGTACATCCATTGTTTCTATTTCTTGTTTCTGAATTTTCTAAAGCTAAACTAAAGAGGTCTATGTAGCCATTGAATCAGATCTCTTGCAGTCTATGCAATAAATTGAGTTATTGCTGCTAAATAAAGCCTGATTTTAATAACTGATCACTGAGGGGGACAGGCCAGACCACCAGAGAAACCTCTGCTTTCCAGGTCTAGGCCTTCGATGGGGAGGCTGCCACCTCACATTCACTCTTGGCCTCTGGACCACCTGTGCTTATCTGTGTACCTTGTGTGTTGGAGTGAAATGTACAACAGGGCCCCCACCTGCAAACTGACATTTAAATGATGGTTCTTCAGCTGGTACACAGAAAGTAAGAATTTGCAATGAGGATACTATTGTATGAAGCGAGGCAGACAGGGGCAAGGGGCAGATGCTAGAGATGGACTTGGGGTTTCCATGTCAACTCACTTTTGTCCAGAAAAAGAAATACATCTTCACAGAAGTAGTACGTGATACCAGAACTTGTAATAGATACTCCTATTTGTTTTTTTTTTTTTACTTTTTAAAAGTAAAGTTCTATTGAAATAGTTTGTTAGTAAAATAGAGTAAGAACTAAATGAACAAGAAAGGAAAAGAATTGAGAGCCAAAGGAATAAACAATTTTTAATAATTATCCTAATAAAAGAAAAGGGTCTGGTAATTGTTATTGGAGGAAATAAGTGAGCCACAGCAAATTTTCCAGGTTTATACCATAAATCACTCTTTAAAAATTTAAGGTCGTATGGGATCTGGACCCAATAATCAAATGCTTTTTCTAATTTCAATTTTGTAAAGAGGTGAAGCTGGGCAAAATTAGTCGTAAAGAAATTCAAGCCTATGTAAGTGCTAGAAGCATCACAATCTAAGAATTGGAGAGAAGCAAAAATGACATGTAAAAATTCACTAATTTCTTTGTGTGAAATTTAATATCTAAAGAGGCCTCTTTCATTTTGATTTGGTCAGACACATTGAAAAAAATTAGTAATATAGAAAAAGCATACATCCATTGCACAAGCAGAAAACACTTGTTTAGACTTCATTTGTTTATGTTTGTGGAAAAATGAGAAAGGAGAAAAGGAGGAGGAAGAAGGAGGGATGTAGGGAGAGAGGAAAAGGCCCTGCTTTCCTGATTTCTTTTCTTTTTTTTTTTTTTTTCAAAAATCGTTCCCAGCCTTTCCTTTGATAATCGGAACAGTTGAAAGTTAGAGATGCTAAAGATTTTAATGTATAATAACCTCAATTTTAAAAAGCAGGGGCCAGATTTATCTTTATACATATTTTAGAGTTCTTACAGTAGATCCAAACCGATCACATCAAATGGAAATTGGTTTTTTGAGTTGATTACAGATCTTGCTTCTCATACTTGATTTATCACTAGAAATTAAAGTCTCAGTGATGGAGGAGAGGGAAATTTTAGATATTTTTGAAAATGACTGAAGATGTAGGAGTGTTGGGGGAAGGTGAAAATCTGAGGCATGACCTTATAAAGGAACCCAAGACGGACTAGAAAAAGCGCACAGTGTGACCTGAAAAGTCAGGGACCGAGGGAAAAGAGGAGCGCTTTGAAGAATGGAAACTGTTCATTTTGACTTTTTAAAAAAATAATTGTTAAACGTTAAGAAGACATGCTAAGCCAGGAAGAATGGCAGAACAACAACAACAAAATAATGTATTTCTTCCTTCTCGTGTAGTGCTACTTTCTTAATACTAGTGAGCTAGTCCCCCAGTGTAATAACACTTGAAGGCAAACAGCATGTGTGTACCTACTACAGTGTGTCATGGAAAGGCTGTTTGTCTATAAATCATTCTCTTTCAGTATGGCTTTTTCCACACCTGAATGTGAGCACGCGAATTATGAAGGTAATAGGATTTGCAATCCCAGAATCTAATGATAAGCCTTTCATAAACTTCAGCGCAAATATCTCACTAGAACAATGTTGGTTTTATTCTATAAGGGCCTGATGGATACTCTAGCGTGAGTTAGCCAATTACATTTCAGTCTTTGCAAGGTGCAGGCACGTATAGGAAAACAAAAGCAATTTACATGTAAATTATAGGTAGGCCTCCTATTTTCTAACTCTGAAGTTGGAAAGAACATTTTGATTACCAAATGGGTTAAATCTATAATGTCAGTCACATCTTTAAACTTCGTTGGAAACTAATTTAATTCTCAAGTTTGAGTTGGACTTGACCTCCACTGGCATCCTGAAAGTTTAGGTCTTACTCCTTTGGAGCCTTTTCCTTCCCCGCCGACAGGTCTACTTGGGTGTCCTTGGTTCCTCGGCATTTTTCTTTTGAGAAAATTTCTCAATGTTTGCTAGAGAAGCCTCCCTTCCTTCCCTTTCCATAACGAAATCCATTTGTATTCTGTGGGGGTCTTGAAGTTTATGAATTAAGTACATATAAAGGCAAGAGATGACTAACTCCTGTCCTGAAATCCTATCTCAAAAATCACATGAATAATAGAATGTTTCATTTAAAATCCCTCCAGTAGCAACTTCTGGGAGCCTCGGCATCCTCCTCCCCATCTCTCTTTTCCACTGTTCGGAGTCCAGCCCACTCCCTGTCCATCAAGCACCTTGCTAGGATTGAACAAGCCTGCAGACATCTTTATGTTTTTTTTTTTCCCCCCCTGAACAGGCTTTTTTTTAACTTCATTTACTGTGCTGAATCTTGGAGAAATATGTTCTAAAACTGTTTCTTTTTTCTAACGTCCAACTGTACTGTTAAAGTCATAAAGTGATTTTTAAAAAATAAATTTATCCATGAAGACATGTATTTATTTTATAAATTAACATGTACAAATTGTAAACTAACAGGATAATTTAATTGGGAGGGAAAAGAAGCTTGAATGATTTACTAATGTTAAACTTGGGAAGGGAATATATGATTGCTGAAATCTAGTTAATATTTGCTACAGATTATAAGGGAAGGTGCTACAATTTATATAAAAAGTTCTTTCAGTGATCTAATAAGGGATAACCATTAAATATCTAATAAGGGGTAACCATTAAATACCAAAAAAAACCTTATTAAGTGATGGGGTGGTTTATTCAAGTAAATCAAGCCTGTTTTTCTAAAGGCACCCGAATTCTATGGCTGCTCATGAACTTCAGCTTTGGCATTCACACTCTGTGGAGACAGAAGGATGTGAGAAGACAAAGACAGACAGGCATGGCAGGAACATGGTGGTGGAGAGCAAAGCTACAGGAGCGTGGCTTATAGGACAACGCCCTCCTAACAGCGGATGTGTTTTGTTCTTCAGGGCAAATACGTATGTTAAAAAAGGTGTGTTCTTTGGAGAAGGATGCTTTCTACCTTTTTATTTCATTGGGTGAAACGTTTTGCTATGAAAGTAGCATATGAATGGAGAATACAAAGCTCAGAGGTGGACTGCCTAAGTAGTGTGAGCAAGAACCTGGGTTCAATGACCAGTATTACAAAATAAGAAAACAAAACAGAAGAATGCAACAGTCCCACCAGAACCCATAAGGATAACATGATACCAGTACCTAAATATGACTTAACATACAAGGTAACACACTGAATCCATGAGCTTCAGTTATGTGTCATTCACCATACTACAGGAGACAAATCAAATTTCATAAAGGGAGCACAACTGCAATTAGTAGCCATCTTATTCTAGAGAAGACTTAAATGGCAGATTTTTTTAAAAAATAATTTTTGCTTATCAAGATCAACACAAAGTTTTTGTGCAATGTTTTAGCTTGTTTCATGTGATGCCAAGGCTGCAGTATGGAATTTCATAGAAACTTCAAAAAAGTTTATAATTCTCTTAAACTATCATATAAAAATTACTTTCAGCTTTCTAAGAGTTCTTCTCTTTCTTCTTTCATTTTTTGTTTGTTAATTTGTTTTCTGTTTTTTTTGTTTGTTTTTTGTTTTTGTCCAGCTTTTTAGTTAAAATTCATGGAGAGTTTTTTTTTTTTTTTTTTAAATTTGGAGTACATGAAAGAGATGAAAATAGAAAGGGCTGTGGGTGGAATCTCAACTCTCTATAGAAACAGATAACCTGTGAAAATAACTGTACACACTCTGCTGTGGGAATAAAATACAGGGCTTCTAAACAGGAACTTCTATTTGATAAGCACAGACATTTTGCATATAGATGCACAATAGATGACTGAGCAAGCTCCCAGTGAACTGAAATGTTTGATGTTAAAGAGACTTATGTGAAGTGATCTTGGTTTTATTTATTTTTTTTTTTCAAAAAAAATTAATGGATTTATCAGGATATAATTTAACAGTGAGAGGGAAAATAATACTTTATTGGACTGAGAGAATGGGAGAAAAAAATCTTAATTTTTGTCAAGTTCTCTGTGTTTTTAATACAAAGTATTGATAGGAATTAGTTTAAAGGCAAGCTTGTACTGTTTTCAAACTAAGTTTTTCAAAAAGAAACTAAAAACATTGTCAAGGGTTAGTCAAAACAATGGGAATATCTGAATATGATATTCAGAAGGAAGCAGGCTTTTCTTAAACAAGTTTATTTATTTTTTATTTTAGTCTCATGAAAAAGCTCATAAGGCTTCTGCATAAAAAGCATACATGAAATAATCATGATAGCTTTGCATATCTCCCAAACACCTATAAGGCATGTACAGGAAACTTTACCCAGAGAAATTTTGCATTACATGTCGAAATTTGACTTTACTTCACAAGGATAAAAAAAAAATCTAAGCATAAGAATTAGATTAGTGTGTGCATTCAGAACCAGAAAATGTCAAGTAGAATTTCTAGTTCTCATAATCTGTTGATTTAAAGACCTTCCCAGTGGAATATCACAATTATGTAAAGAAATAACACATTTTAAGAAGTAAAGATAAAACAGCATCAGCCATATAAATAAATACAATTGCAAAAGGCATATAAAATATGTTTTTAAGCCTAAGCATCTAGAAGCCAGCTATTTTACCTATCACTGTAAGAATAAAATGCCTTTAAAAATGCAAACATTTTCCGAATCTGAGGATAGCCATGTCAGCTTGCTAGCGGTTCTTCTGATAACGAGGCGGTGACAGGACCAATCATGGTAACCTCTCATTTCTATTTTATTGAGTTACAAAAGGCAATTTTATATCCCATTATTCCGAAAGGGTGGAGGTTGGTCCCTCTTGCTTCCACGTGTAAGCATTTCTGATGTTTTAGTGCACTCTTGCAGTTCAGCCCAAGGCAGCTGCAGCATTTCCCACCAGGAAGGCAAGGAGCTAGGAGGGAGCGAGCTTTGAGGGAACAATCCGGAAAACCACAGTACAGCTTCTTGGTCCTTACCTCACAAATTACCTTTTAAAATCAGACTCATAAAAATGCAGCTTATTATCTAAAAATTTCAAAGAGGATCTTTTGTTAAAGGATTAACAAAAGAACGACTTTCCTAATTCTTTTTTAAAATGCCAACCTCTAAAAAACTGACCTCTCAAAGTCTTTTTGGAAAGTGTTTAAATCATCTGGAGATAAATATCACTTGGTGTCCTTGTTTTCTAACAAATGGCATTTTCCATTGTTTCCATTAATTTCACCCATATTCGTTTTAAAAATAACAAGGCCCCTATCCTCATCAGCAAAACAAAGATGAACGATTTATCATATGAAACCAGTAATTACATTCTGATTTACGAAAGATTTTTGTTTCTGCTTTTCGTCTGTTTTTAAGAAGTCCTCCGGTGATTAACTGTAAACAGGAATGGTTTACACCTCAAATTAGAAGCCATTAATTAGCATGACGAAGTCAACTGCAAGATACACAGATAATTTAAATTATTTAATCACTAATCACCTTGGCTAAACTGTAATATACTCTTTTCAATAACCTTCGGTAGGTTATCGACCGGTCAGTAATTTACGTTCATATCAGTTAGAGATTAAGTATTAGCTAGCGTCCTTTCCTTCCCCTCAGGTTTATATTAGCCCTTCTTGTAAACACTTTAAAAAGCTTTACGGTTCTTCTCTCCCAAATCCCTAATTAGCCATCACTAGCCTTTTTGTAATAAGGGGGAAAAGATGATCTGAAGTACAAAATCTGGAGTTCCTCCTATCCGTTTAACAAAACAAAAAAACATTTTTTTTTTTTTTTTAAATCGAACGCTTCAGGCAATGGTAGTAATAAAAGAAATATGCAGAGGTGGCTTCGGGAAATAACGGGTTTGCAAAACGCCAAGTGCCTCACAAAAAAAAGCAGCCCGAACCTCTATGGCAATCCACGGCACTCCAATAAATTACACAACACTTGCACAGGCTGCAGAAATATCGCAGGACAAGACTTACACAGATGCCAATCCGCAGCATTTATACTCATGCACATGGCAAGACAGAAAGCAAACACTAGCGTTCAAGTCGGGCAGGGCGGCGCGATCCCGACTTGGCCCAGCGTGAGAGTGTGCTCCCTGAGTGTCTCTCTGTGCGTGCGTGAGAGTGAGCCCCATCCTCCCGGCATTTCCCCTCTTTGGGCAGTTTTGCTTCATTTGTTTCCTATTTCTGCTACATAGAAACTAACTTCCATCTCAGCCCAGCCAGCGCCGCTGAATAGAGCCTGTGCTGCGGCTCCGTGTGCGTCAGATCCCTCCGCGCAGCCGTGCCGGGGCCCCCCCCCTCCTTTCCCTCCTTCCCTTTCTCCCTCCCGCGGGCGGCCTCCTTCAGAGAAAGCGCCTGCCAGCCAGCCAGCCCGCCAGCCCGCCGTTTCGGCTCCGGCATCTTCTCGGGCTGGAAAAATAAATAAATAAGTCGCGGCCCGGGGCCGCGCGGAGGGGGCGGCGGGGTGTGTGTGTGTGACAGCGCAGGCCTAGGCCGAGGCACTCCTTTTCCCGCGGGGGGCGGGGGCGGCGAGTGCGGGCCGCGAAGGCGCGGACTCCTTTCTGCGGCGGAGGGATCCCGGCGGAGGCGGCCGCAGCCGGGGCCGCTGCCTGAGAGTTGTTGTTTCCTCCTCCTCCTCCTCCGCCTCCGCCGCCGTTGCTTGAATGGTGGAGCCGAGGCTCGGCTCGTGAGCACACACTGACAGCTACAGGGCAGGCGGCGGCACCGTCCCCGCTTCCCCTCGGCGGCGGGGTGTCCCGCCGGCGGCCCCGAAGTGACCCGCAAACATGTCTCGTGAGAGGAAAGGCCTCTCGGAGCTGCGATCGGGTAAGTCGGGCGCTGCGGAGCCGCCGCGCCGGGCGGACTCGCCCGCG